TGGACACGGTGAACGAGGTGAGCCGAGCTCTCTTGGAGCTGGTTCCCTGGCGAGCCCGCGAAGGGCTGGATAAACTCGTGTCGGACACCAACGAGCGCTACAAGCTGGTCAGCGACACCATCAAGCAGAGGGTGGAAGAAATCGATGCTGCTATTCAGAGGTCTCAACAGGTAATTTAATAAGCCCGCCGGAGGCTGACGGGGTTTCTCGGCAGAGCGGGAGTGAGCGGCTCGGCACTGCTCCAGCCCTGCAATGGCAGCAGGAGGGATAGCGAGCACAGCCCAACGGCGGGGCCGGATCCCATCGGGAATACCGAGAAGTTAACTGACCCCACCAGCGGCCTGTGGCAGTGGGGCTGGTTTCTGACCCGTCCCGTTGCGCGTGCTTTGGATAGGATAACTCTGGGGCAGCGCCGTGTTATCCCGCCTGCTGGCTTTTGCTTGCGTGGGTGAAGTAGACGGTGTAAAACCGATGACAGGTGACTTTCAAGCCTGGAAAAACGTCATCCCCTGTTGTGATAGCACGGGGATTTGTTCCAGGTGAAGGGTCCTCTCAAAAAAGGCTTGTTCTGCACGGACTGGAGGCTGTGGAGCGCTGTGAATAACTGCCCTCGCTGGCTTTAAGCGCTGACTCCACGAAGCTGAATGTGCAAGGAAAATGATTGTGTAAAATAGGGGCGTCCCTTGCCCTGTGAGTGGGAAGGGTGCAGAGGAAAGTTGTCGCTCCACTGTGCTCTGCTGCGCTGAGCGCCTGTGGTGCAGTGCTGCTCCGTGCCCCAAAACCAGCTGCAGGAGCTGCCGGCCGTGGGCCAGCGGCTGGCGCGCCCCTCCCGGGGGGGGCGGGAGGGGCTGCCGCTCCTCTCCGAGGGGAGCGTGGAGTCAGAAACCTGCGTCCCCACCAGTGTCCCCTTCTCCTCCCCGCCTCTGCACGCCCGGGCGAGGTGTTCATCCCCCGCGTCCCGTTGGATTCCCCCGTGTCTCCCACCATCCCCAACTTGCCGCGTGCTCCATCCCTGCTGCCTGTCGCTAACCTGCGCTGCCTGTCCTCTCCCGCGTGCCAGTACGAGCAGGCGGCCGACGCGGAGCTGGCCTGGGTGGCTGAGACCAAGCGGAAGCTGCTGGCTCTCGGTCCCATCCGCCTGGAGCAGGTCCAGACGACGGCTCAGCTGCAGGTGCAGAAGGTACGTGCGCGCCCGCTGCCGGGGAGGGCGGCAAGGAGGGATGTGGTTTGGGTGATTGAGGCTTGGGCGATGGGCAGCTTTACCCTGGGGTTTGTAGCGCTGAGCCTGGAGCACCAGGAGAGGTGCGACGCTCGTCGTTGGTAAGTAAAAGGGAAAAACGAGGAAGAAAGAGGATTTAGAGAAATGAAGTGTTGGGCTTCTGAAGCAAAAAGCCTCCTGTCCGTTTGCGGGAGCCGAAACCCTTGTGCGGCCGTTTGGGGCTGGATGGGTGCTCCTGCCTGGACTCCCCTCGAGAGCCAGCCGCTCTTTCGAAGGCTTTCCGTGGGGCCGCTGGAGCAAGCTCTGCCTGGGTCTTGCAGGCGCTGGCAGTGGGAAGGCTTCAGAGAAATGTATATATTGATTAATGAGGGTGCTTTTACATTTGCTTTTTGCTCATTGTTCCTTGCAGTGGGGGACTCCTCGTTTCCCTCCCAGCAGCCAGACATGGAACAAAGAGACGCTGGGGTTTTTTTTATATCTTTGAGATGAGCTCATGCCTGAAAGAACGTGCACTTTAAATAAACGGCCCTTTTCTTCCCTTACCAGCCTCGGCAATCGGAGCAGCTTACAGGCTTATTGGATTTAAAAAAAAAAAAAGGAAAAAAAGAAAAATAAGACATTGTTATAAGGGAGGGGGACGGAACCATCAAGCATTAAGTTAAATTGAGCTCAGCTTGGCTTCCCGCTGTTAATCGCGTGGACCTTGGGAATGGCAAAATTATTGGTAGATGCAGTTCTGGAGAGCATCGTTTCGGAGGCTTAAAGCGTTCGCTAACGAATGGATGGCGGAGCTTTTCCTCATGTGCGGACCCTGGGTGTGGAAGTTGACTGATGCCTCCTTTCAAGAGCTGTTTTCAGGCCTTTGAAAGAGAGAGGTTGATGTAGATGAGTCATGAGAAAAACATGCAGCAATCTGCGTTTTCAGCCAGGTTTTCAGCGTGCCGCAGGACACTTGTATTGAGTTTTGTGTGGTCTCTGCTGCCTGGCGCAGGCAGGAGGGTCCCGTGGATGGGCTGGGGGGAGAGGTTGGGCTCGGCTCTGATTTCTTTCCTTTCTTTGGACATTTCCTTTCTGCAGGCTTTTTCCATTGACATTATTCGGCACAAAGACTCTATGGATGAACTGTTCAGCCAGCGCAATGAGATCTTTGGGACGTGTGGGGAGGAACAAAAAGCTGCTCTCCAGGTGAGCCTCCCTCTGCTATTTACCCCGCCGGGGGAGACAGACAGGGGAGGGAGGTGAATGCTCAGCTCTCCAACAGGCTGAAGTAGTTTAAAATTACTCCATCTTTAGTAATTCCCACCAGCATTAGCAGAAATCTCTTTACATTTATTACTCTCCTTTATTGCGTATTTTTATTGCAGTGTTTGGGGATGGGGCGGGGGGGAGACAGTGGAGATTTCTGAGGCTGCTTTAATTGGAATTACAGCTTGCGCACGTGGAAGGCCACCAAAGGCACCTCCTGCTCTTCCAGCTCGCAGCGTGCAGCTGGCGCTGTTCCTGGGCCCTTTTGCATCCCTCGCTATAACTCTCCTCCCTCTTTTTCTTCTTTTTTTTAGGAGAAAACCGAGTCCCTGGTGCAACAGTACGAAGCCGTGAGCCAGCTCAACTCGGAGCGCTACGCTCGCTTGGAGCGTGCCCAGGTCTTGGTCAACCAGTTCTGGGAGACCTACGAGGAGCTGAACCCCTGGATCGAGGAGACGCAAGCCCTCATCTCCCAGCTGCCCCCTCCGGCCATCGATCACGAGCAGCTCAAGCAGCAGCAGGAGGACATGAGGGTAAGAGGACGCGGCGTTGGCATCTCCTGCGCCATCGGTTCTTCTACTTTAAACGGAGGTGCGGTGCTCACAGGGGCAAGAACACCATTTTTTCTGAATTTTTCTGATTTCCCGCCCCCTGCCCCCCCATTCTCTTCTTTTTGGAGATCCTGCCTATGTAATACATGCGTGCCGTGAGCGTACCATGTGGAAATCGCTAGTTACATTGGAGCACTTCTTACTAAAATACAGATCGCACCCAAGGGAGCCTGGCTGCCTTCGGATCTCCTGCCTGATTGTGGCAGGGAAAACTGCTTTGTGCTTTTAGTGTAGAGAGCTGCAAAGCAAGTTTTCTCAGTGGTGTCCCCGTGGGGCTGTAGGGAGGGTCAGGAGCCGGGGAAGGACCCGTGCCGGGCGACGTGCTGGCGCGCACGGAGCTGCGGCCATGTTAGGAAGAGCCGAGTGCCATGTGCTTGGCAGATGCTGGGTCAAGACATCCGCGGTGTGAGTTCACTACCAGATACGATCGCTGCTCCTGGAGTGTTGCATGAAATAAATAGGCAGCGGCTTTCAATAGATTTCTAAACAAATGTCTTTTTTTTTTTTTTTTTTTTTTCCCCTATTCCCTAGCAACTGAGAGAGTCCATTGCTGAACATAAGCCTCATATTGACAAGCTGCTGAAAATCGGACCACAGCTCAAGGACCTCAACCCTGAGGAAGGGGAGATGGTGCAGAAAAAATACTCGACGGCTGAGGCCATGTATGCCAAAATCAAGGAGGAGGTGTGCCAGCGGGCTCTCGCGCTCGACGAAGCTGTCTCGCAGTCCACCCAGGTACGCTGGGGTGCAAAGGAGCTGAGTCTTCTTATCACAGTCCCTGGGGGAAGCCACATGGTTTGAAATGCAGTTTTATTCGGAGTGTTAGGATTGTAAAACCCTTTATAAGGCACAATGTGGTCAGACACCTCTAGGGTAGTTTCCTGCTGCTCAGCACTGGCTGCGAAAGCAGGGGAGAAGGCGCTTGAATCTTGACTTAGTAAATAGGGTAATAAATTTTTACAACCTCAATAATGATGCTCGTTCCAAGGGGCTGTTTTGGCATCCACCCAAGGTTGGAAGGGCCCGGAGAGCCTCTTTAAAGAGCTTGGAGAGATAAGTTTCATTTCTGATAAGCTGTGTGCAGCCCACGGCCACGGGACCCTTTGTATGGGAGAGTTAACGGTTGTCTCCAGGGTCTGGGCATCTCCAGAGGTCAGTGACTGCGGGAGCAGAGAGATGAAAGGAAGGGCAGGACTGTAGGTGTGAAAGTCCAGAAAGGGGGTGAAGAGTGTCTGCTGCTGAGGGTTTATGACCCCTAGTTACGTTTCATTTCACCCCGTGTTACTGTAGCACAGTTGGTTTTTGTCATGTCTGGGTGTTTATTTTTTTTAGTCCTGTATTGTGTAGTCACTTCTCTTGGTTTGCACTTGTATTAACTCCGAGTTTTTCCCCCCACACCCCCCTCCCGTCTCATCTCTCACTCCCATTGTGGAATGTGTTATCTGTGTGTGTTGCTGCCTGTGCCCGTCCTCCCCACATGGTCCCATTTCATTCTTGTGTTGACTGCGCCCCACCATTGCAGATTACGGAGGTAAGCCCCGCCACCACAGAT